TGTCTGTTGTGGGGGCCTGAACTCTGGGCCTGGGCCCTGTCCCTCAGCTCTTCAGCTCAAGGCTACCGCTCTACCACTAGAACCGCAGCGCCACTTCTGGCTTTTTCTGCTTATGTGGTGCTAAGGAATCGAACCCAGGGCCTCATGCATGCAAGGAAAGCACTCTACCACTGAGCCAACTTTCCAGCCCTATAATTGTTTTCTTCCACCTTGTGATTTATTCCATTTTATCTTTTTAAAAATGTTTTTGTATTGTAAAAATACTGAACAGAGGGGTTACAGTTACATGAGTAAGGAGTACATTTCCTATCAAGCATTGTTACCTCCTTTGTTTTTCCCCTACCATCTCTTCCCTCACTACCTCCCCAACTCCTCTCCCCCATCCTCCCCAAGTTGTAAAGTTCAACATAGTGTCTTGTACATCTCATTGTTACAATAGGTCAACCTGTATCCTTATTTCAGCATTTTGATATTTCCCTTTCCCTCCTCAAATCAGAAAAATGTATATACAAGATACGGGGCACCGATGTCAGATACAGTGAAAACAGGGTATGTAATTTTTTTTGGTCTGTTGTGGGGCCTGAACTCTGGGTCTGGGCACTGTCCCTCAGCTCTTCAGCTTGAGCCACTGTGCCACTTCCAGCCTTTTCTGCTTATGTGGTGCTGAGGAATCTAAACCAGGGCCTCATGCATGTGAGGCAAGCGCTCTACCACTGAGACATCTTCCCAGCCCCGTTGTTTTTTTTTTTTTTTTTTGCCAGTACTGGAGCTTGAATTCAGGGCCTTGAGCTCTCACTTGGCTTTTTCACTCAAGACTGGTGCTCTTCCACTTGAACCATATCTCCACTTTTGGCTTTTTGCTGATTTACTAGAGATAGGAGTTGTATCAACTTTCCTGCCTGGGCTAGTTTCAAACTGTGATCCTCAGACTGGAGTCTCCTGAGTAGCTAGGATTACAGACATGTGCTACTGGTGCCCAGTGGAGATAAGTCTTGAGGATTTGTCTGCCTGTGCTGACTTGGAACTGTGATGTTCAGGTCTCAGCCTCCTGAGTACCTAGGATTTATAGGTGTGAGCTATCAGGGCCCAGCAAGACTTAATATTGCAAGAAACTTCATATACCAGTGAGGGCTGTTTTTCTAGTGATTTGTAATGAGAAAAGGAACTGTGTGTTTGTGAGCACATCAGTGAAAGTAGGAGTTGGGAAGTTAGAATGTAGCTTACTCACTGGGTGCTGGTGGCTCACACCTGTAATCCTAGTTACTCAGGAGGCTGACATCTGAGGAACATGATTCAAAGCCATCCTGAGCAGGGAAGTCTGGGAGACTCTTATCTCTAATAAACCACTCAGAAAACGGGAAGTGGTACTGTAGCTCAAGTGATAGAGCGCTTGCTTTGAGCTGAAGAGCTGAGGGCTGAGGGACAATGCCCAGGCTGAGTTCAAGCCCCATGACCCAACCAAAAAAAAAAAACAAATCTTACTCAAGAGTCAGTTTTGAGGAAAGCTTCTTTCTTTTGGTGCCAGTCCAGGGCCTTGAACTCAGGGCCTAGCCTCTGTCCCTGAGCTTCTTTTGCTCAAGGCTAATTCTCTACCACCTGAGCCACAGCTCTGGCATTTTGGTAGTTTAGTGGAGTCTTATAGACTTTCCTGCCCTGGTTGGCTTCAAACTGCAAGCTTTAGATCTCAGCCTTCTAAGTAGCTAGGATTATAGGTTTGAGCCACTATGCCCAGCTGCCTTTTTTTTTTTTTTAAAGGAAAATACATACCTATTAGCAAAACAAACAACAAAATTCCAGTGATGGAGAGAAACTGGATTTCTCATATATTACTGGTTTCTACCAGCAGTATCTATCATATGGATGGTCACTCTGGAAAGTAGTATAGCAATTTCCTAAAAACACAAAACTAGTATACAAAGGGTCATAGCAGTTTTATCTGTGATAGAAAACAAAACCTTGGAAACAACCTAACTATAATTGGGGAAATGGATGAACAAATGGTATATCCACAGAATAGAATACTACTCTTCCACAAAAAAAGAATGTTTTGATAAAAACATTAGATAAAACTCAAAGGCACTGCATTCAGTGAAAAGCCTCCATCTCAAAAAGTTACATGTTATATGAATGCTATTTATGTAATATTTCTGAAATATTGGTGGTTAATAGAAGACATGGTTGGTGTGGCAGGGGGAATGTATGAATGTTACTCAGTGTTCTATTACTCTGAGAAAATATCTGAGACCAAGAGGGAAAGGATTATTGTACTCATGGCTTCAGAGGGTCTGTCCGTTTCATGGGCTTGGGGTGAGGCAGGGAGTATGTAGTGGAGGACAACTGTTTACCTCATGGCAGCCAAGAAGGGAGAAGTGGCCAGGAACCTTTCAAAGGGATATCCCCAGTAACCTAATGCTTCCACCTCCTTCCAATAGTGCATTAAAGAAGCCACTGACTGAAGAGGGTAGAGCCTCTGATCTAATCTTTTCCCACAGGCCCCACTTCTGAATACTGATACATTGATTGGGGTCTAGCTTTGAACATATAAGCTTTTGAGGAACATTTCACATGCAAACTGTAACAGGTAGTATGAAAGAGTTTTGTTGCAAAGGAACGGTGTAAGGATGATTATTTAAATTTATATGTGGGATAAAGTTGTGTTACACTATACCTAACACATGCAGAAGTATGAAGGTTAAGATGGTGAATGTGTGATACCTAGTTACCTGTAATATGCCAAATTGTCAGTTGCCTAGGGCCAGTGTTTTCAGAGGTAGTGAGAGTGTAGATAACAAACTGGAGTTAAGAAATATTTCTAGGGGCTGGGAAGGTGGCTCAGTGGTAGAGTGCTTGCCTTGCATGCCTGAGGCCCTGGGTTCGATTCCTCAGCACCACATAAACAAAAAGAAAAAAGCCGGAAGTGGCGCTGTGGCTCAAGTGGTAGGGCGCTAGCCTTGAGCTGAAGAGCTGAGGGACAGCGCCCAGGCCCAGAGTTCAGGCCCCACAACTGGACCCCCCCCCAAAAAAAAGAAATATTTCTAAAGGTATAACTTATAAAGGGTTTAAGCTTGCTGGGTTCTAGTGGATCTGCCTGTAATCCTAGCTACTCAGGAGGCTGAAATCTGAGAAATGTGGTTTGATGCCAGCCTGGGCAGGAAAGTCTATTAGACACTTATCTCCAATTAGTCAGAAAAAAATGTAGAGGTGTGGCTCAAGTGGTAGAGTATTAGCCTTGCATGAATAAATCCAAGTGAGTATGAGGCCATGAGTTCAAGCCCCAGTACCTGCACATACGTTTACTCACAAGAGGGTCTAGGTTTGCCCATCACTAGCACTCCTGTTGTCACTGTCCATTTTAGGTCTTGTTTCTCTTTTGATTCAGAGCATAGAGCTAGGCCTATTTCTAGTGGCAAACCAATCAACCATCCCATGGGTGCAATCTCCAGGCCTTTAGTCTTTTTCAGTAATTGGTTTCTCCACTGTCTAATACTGAGTTTGCTCCTTTTCTATCGGAGTTTTTTTTTTTAATTTTTACATCTCAATTTTATGCCATTGCAGATGCTAGAAGCTGCCAGAAGGCTGTCCTCCAGATACTTTTCCCTTGCTCTAGCTTATATCACTATTTCGTTGCAATTAGCATTCAGAATATGCACTGTCATCTTATTAAAATTTATGCTTTTTAATGGTGAAAGCACATGGAGAGTTGATTGTGGAACTGTGGCTTATCCTTGCTCTTCTTAGTTACCTGTGTCTAAATTAAGCTGAACCTCTGGGCCTCAGCTATTTCTAAACAGGCATCACAATTTACTAAGGCTAATGCCTGGGGGCACGTTAACCTTGCAGACAGTAATCTAATTCAGTGTCATCACAAGTGCATAATGCTGGAGTTTGGAGTTTTGCCAAAAAGCACTATTCAAATGAACATTCAGTTGGCATGGGGTGGGGAAGGTGGGTGTGGACTAGGGAAGGAGAATTCCAGAATGGTTGTGTAGATATTTTTGTGCCCTTTCCCCTCAAGGGTTATGTTTAAATGTTGCAAAAAGGTGATAAATAAAACCTTCAGATTACTATGAAGAAACCATAATGAAGGTGTTTCACCTCACCTAACAATCCTTGAGCATCATCTTTTGTGCTAACTGGCTGACCTTGTCCCGGAGTGGTGACACAAAGCCGAGTACCAGCAAGCCACCGCACACAACTCACTAACATTAGGAGACACCTAATGTTAGTTAGATCAAGGCCCCCTAAGAGAGGTTAGGGCCAGAAGAAGGTCATTTAAAGGGCTCCCAGAGGACAAGACAACTGTGCAACCTTACTCAGCTGTCTAGAGATCACTAATAAGTTTTGGCTGTGGTACAGCCCGAGGCGTGGATTCCGGGTGAACTGAACTACCTTAGAGTCCTGCCTCACAGGCTGCAGGGCCTGACTTCTCGATCCTTCTCGGCGCTCACAGCTGGCATCTGTGTGCAGACCCCCAACAGAGTTGAGGAGCTTCAAGGACGCAGGGTTGTGTCTCCCAGAAAAGGTGGCTTTTGGGGGGAAGAGGGCTAGGTAAGAGAGGATAAAAACAAAACACGCCAAGCAATCCAGGCAGACAACCTTTCACCCAGGTTCCCGCCCTCTACGCGCTCCCGGGGTGGCGGGCCGCGGCCCGGATCGCAAGGGGCGGGCGGGGGGCGTACCCGCCTCTCAAAGGAGGGTTTCCTCAGTCCTCGTCGCGGGCGGGGGAGGCCGCGGCACCAGGCCAGCATCCCCGGCCACGCCGGGCTGGTGACACGCAGGCACCGGAACCGAAGCCACGCTGGGTCTCGCGGCCGGGTCGCCGAGCCGGGTGAGGGCGAGGGCGGGCGCCGCAGCGCGCTTCCCGTGTGCGGGGCTTCCCACAGTGCACCGCGCGGCGGCGGCGGCGGCGGCAGCGGCGGCGGCGCTCTAGCCACGGCATGTCTGCCTCTCGACTGCTCTGGGAGGAGGAAGAGAAGGAGGAAGAGGAGGAGGAGGAGGAGGGGGAGGAAGAGGAGAAAGGCGCAGGGGTGGGAGCTGTTGCCGAAGCTGCCACAGCCAAAGTTCTCCCCCCTCCCCCCTTCCCCTCCTCTCCAGGCCCCGTAGGAAGGTGGGAGCTGCCGTCGGCTGCCGTTGGTGACCGCGCGACTCGGCGCCCGTCTGCCCGTCCGCCCGGCGGCCCGCGGTAAACGCTGGGCCTGGCAGGCCCGGGCCCGGGGGAGGACGGGG